AAACCTCAATCATGTCGCTTATACCAACCACTTGTTTTGACAAACCAGCTACTCTGTGACCGTCACCGGATTGATCGAGAACCCAAGAAAGCTGTTTATGAAAGATATCAGGTTTATGCTCTCTTTCGTGATACAATACAAGTTTGTATCTTCTAAATGACTATCAATCGTTTATATCTCACTACCGTTTCTCAAATTGCAGGTCCCTGCCAAAGTACAATGTTACTGCTACTCTACAGGTATATTATTGATTGGTCTATCTTCAGTTTTTTCACGAGTGAAAATACCCATCACTTTTGTATGTGCTAATGTTGAAATGCAGTGTGCCGGTAACAGAAGAACTGCCATGAGCAAAGTGAGGACTGTTAGAGGAGTTGGTTGGGATGTTTCTGCAATTGGGAACGGTTTGTTTTGCTTTTTCTCTTTCCCATATGCACGAATTGAAAACTGTATAGTACTTGGCTTGAACTAGATATCAAGGACTATGCCTTTCATTTNTTGTGCAGCTGTCTGGGGCGGGGCTAAATTGGCCGATGTTCTTGACCTTTTGGGGATAGCAAAGCTGACTGGCTCAACCAATTTGGGAGGAAGACATGTTGAGTTTGTTAGTGTTGATCGCTGTAAGGTAAATATATCTATACATATATCGATTTCTTTCATGCTTTGGTATGCATTCGTTGATTTACATGAAAAGTCTATGTTTCTCTAGGAAGAGAATGGGGGGCCATATAAGGCGTCAATCCCTCTGATTCAAGCCACAAACCCTGAAGCTGATGTTCTACTCGCTTATGAGATGAACGGAGAGGTTCAAATCTTTCTCTTACTTCCTCAACATATTAGTCTCATCTGTGTTTAAATCATCACTTGTTTGACATTTGAGTTTAAGTGAGTACTCAGAGACTTACTTGTTTGTTGAGAAATACTTTTCTTCTGCAAAGACCCTGAACAGGGATCATGGATTTCCATTAAGGGTGGTTGTCCCGGGTGTGATTGGTGCTCGTTCGGTCAAATGGCTAGATTCCATCAATGTACTAGCTGAAGAATGCCAGGTCTGTACAAAAGTGTCCTGCTTTACCCTGTTTTTAGCAATCAGAAACTGCTCTAACGTTATCATAGACTTGGATCAAAAATGTGGTGTAGGGTTTCTTTATGCAAAAAGATTACAAAATGTTCCCACCCTCTGTCAATTGGGATAATATCAACTGGTCCTCAAGGAGGCCACAAATGGATTTCCCTGTTCAGGTAAAAACTTGTATCTGCGCTCGTAAATTAGGAACTTCCAATTTCCTTGTCATGTTCATAGTTCTCTGTTCTTCCATGAAAACGCTTGATGATGGTGTTCTGTGTCTCTTATCGAATCAACTGATCTTTTTTCTATTGGCTTTTTCTAAAAATTTACTTGTATGGAATATGAACTTGATCAGATAATAGAATATATTGCCCCATCCATATTTGTTGTTATGGTTAACAGAGTGCAATCTGCTCCGTGGAGGACGTGCAAATGGTGAAGCCTGGAAAGGTGAGACCTTTCGAGCTGAATTCACTACCCAATGTGATATGACCAATGCAGGAAAGCAGGAGCAAAATCAATCTGGTTTGGTTTTTGCAGATAAGCATCAACGGGTATGCGGTTTCAGGAGGTGGGCGTGGGATAGAGCGAGTGGACATATCCCTGGATGGAGGTAAAAACTGGGTGGAAGCTTCTAGAACTCAGAAACCAGGAAAGCATTACATATCTGAACATGACTCCAGCGACAAATGGGCGTGGGTGTTGTTTGAAGCCACCATTGATGTTTCGCAGACTACTGAGGTCATCGCCAAAGCGGTAAAGCTTGGGGACATTTTGCTCAGCTAATATAACAGTAAATGGATTTTTGACATATGAAAATGTGAAAATGGGCAGGTGGATTCGGCGGCGAATGTTCAGCCGGAAGATGTGGAGTCAGTGTGGAACCTAAGAGGGGTGCTAAACACTTCGTGGCACCGTGTTCTTCTTCGGCTTGGGCATTCTAACTTGTAGATGAAGTTACCTCCACTTGTCTATCCTCTCTTTTACCTTTTGTTTCAGACTTAGACTTACTTTGAATATGCCTGTGGATATGTGAGCTAAGCTGTGGTTTAGTTAAATAAAATGAAAAAACCCACCTGTGATGATGACTCTATAACTTTTGCTCTTGTGGTGCATAATATATTACAGTATAATATGGTTGAACTATTTATAATTCGTGGTGCATTATAATATGCATGAAATTATATGGTTGAGCACATTTCTCAATGGTATATTATATTGTCATTGATTGCTTCACGGTCCACTCTCTTACTCGTTCATTTGTTTGTTAAATATTATTCTTGTATTTAATTGATTGCTTCACGTTTATATATGCATTGGCAATGGCCAGGTCTCTTTGTTGGTTCTCCAATAGTTAACCACCCATCTTAATTACATTCGTTTTCCCACAACAAACAAATCCATCATCGAAAAATCCGTCCTGACCAGATTTTTTTTTTAGTAAATCGTGGGAGTACCGAACATTTGGCTCATAATTTCTTCGGTATCCAGAATTAGACTTGAGATATTCCGATTTAAAAAATAATTCTCAGAACCAAAGAAAATTTGAACACGAAGCACAACTGAACCAACCTATTGCGTTACCCACTAGGCCAACACATATTTGGTTTTTCATAATCATAATTGCGGGAAAAAGTTATGTATTCATAATTTTCTTTTAGGTACTAAATGGTGACACTTTAAACAAATTCTACCAAATTCAGCTAGATTCAGCAACTGCGCAGTTACCATTTACAATGTAAATTTTTTTTGCCATATTCAGCTAGATTCAACAATTCATCAAAAAATATATTGCAAAATTCAGTTGAATTCAATTAGATTCAATAAATTTTTCCAACACCAAATGATGTATAAATATGTTTATTTTGGATAATAGATTGGATAAGAGCAGATATTTGAGTTAGAAAATACATCGAAG